GACGGGAAATGGCCAAGCTAAAATCGCCGTCGCCACAAGAATTGTATCATGCGAGGAGACAGCGGGAGGAAGAGGAGAGGATCGCTTTGCTTCCGCCGGGGTTCATCAACAACGGAAATACGTGCTTTATGAATTCCGTGCTCCAGGGCGTACGTTATTCCGTTGTCAAACAGGAGTACTACTGATTATATGCTGCCCAGTTAATCGCGACGAGGCTGCTCTCAGATCTCATATATTTCAGGCCTATCTCTCCTACTGATCAGTTCCATTCGGAGACCCGTCTTGAATCTCGGAGGTCGCCGTTACTCACCAATGGTGTCAAGGCCGCTGGGCCGGATAGGCAGAATTGGGTGGATACCATGCCCATCGGGGACGTATTTGTGAATGTCATGCTGAAGGCCTGGGATGCGCAGAGGGGTAAACGGAGGGAAAGTCAGACTCCGAGGTGTGTCGCGTTTTACTAATGTTGCTGACTGGAAGCTGATGCCTGTGAACTGCGAAGGGCACTTCTTAGCGTGCTCGGCCGGAAATACGACCAGTACCTTGATTTTGCCCAGCAAGACGCGCACGAATTCATGCGAATTCTGCTAGATGCTATGCGAATGGAGGAGTTCGATGTATGTATGCGCCCTTCCATTTACATTTTTCTAAATGGAATACAGGCCATAAAGAAACGGCAGCCGCCACCGCCGCCCGAGAGGGCCAAGAGACGCCGCAGACGGACGCTGACCCCGTCGAATCACAAGCATGATGACGACGACAAACTGCTGTCTCTTCCTGACATGATCTTCGGGGGCAAGCTTACGAGCATTCTGGTTTGTCAGAAATGCAAGCACGTATCACAGACATACGAGGACTTCAACGATCTCAGTCTCAGTATCAAACCGGAAGACTACGCAAAGGAACGCAAACGCGATCGATTAAGGAACCTAGCGAAACGGCTGACTCCTGTATTCCCTGCGGCGTCTAACCTCGGTGTGGACAAGGCATCAGGGCACCGCTCATCGTCAGCACCGCCAAGCCCCAGGGAACCGGAGCATGACGAGCCTCCCATAGCAGACGATCCTCGGCGTAGAAGTATGGATGCGTTAGCGGAACCACCTGCGGAGCCACATGTAGACGATGAAACAGTTAAAGATCCGACGGTTTCCGAGGGTGAGAAGCGACTTGAATTTGCAGATCTACCGAAGCCGGAGAGGAAGGATAAAGGCAAAGATGACGGATGGGTGAAGCTGGGCCGCCGATTTAGTGTCAGTGTCGGGTTAGCCAAGGCCGCCAAAGAGCGCAAGAGCCGGTCGAGAGAGAGACGCTCCAGTCACGACTTTTCACGTCCGGGTACATCATCTGCGTCGGCCAGCGAGGACGTGTCTTCTTCTGAAGGGAGGCCGAGCTTTTCTGAAGCATCTTCCATTCGTCTCACCAAGCTGGAACACCCAGACGCGCGAGAATCACCGCGTATCCGTGCGCTCTCTCCCCTCCATGCCATCGCAACCCCATCCTCCAAGACGTCCAGTACGACGTCCATCCCTCGCTTTGTCAACATCAGTCGAAGCAAATCTCCCAAGCCTCCCAAGCCATCTCGAGCCGAGCAAGCGTATCTGCGAAAGATTCTAGCGGATGTCACGTATCAATCTGCGCCCAATCCCTTTGCTCTCCTCAATCATCTCAATGGATCGTCTTCGAGTTCCCATCACCATTCCAGTCATACGTCGCAGCACATGTGGTTGAAAATAGGTCAACTACTAGGCATTGAGGACTGTTTAAAAATGTTCACTGCGGTAGAAATTCTTGATGGGGAGAATATGGTCGGCTGCAGACGATGTTGGAAGATCGCGAATGGGCTATACAAACCCAGTTCAAAGCGCGATGAAGGGGATGGCGACTCGGACAGCCTTAACAACCGTGAATCGCCTCCGCTTCAGGAGCCCAGACCGCGGACGCCGTCCTCAGAGACATCTACGAGCGATCTGCCAACATCTCTATCAAGTCCGAATATCCCGCTATACTCTCATTCAGACTTTAGCAACACTGCAGAGTCCATCGTATCATTGCCTACGATTCCGTCGGAGTCTGTCGTGGGTCTAAAACACACTCCGTCCCCACTAACCCTTACCAGTATCAACGGTATTTATACCCCTGGTGGACTGCCAATTCCGTCAATAGCGACGACAGAGCCACCGGGACCTGACGATACTCCCTCGGTCCCCTCAGACTCGGACGATAGCCCGAATGATGCATCCTTTCCTAATGGCAACAGCAATACCCCTTCCAACGATATACCCCAAGCGGACATATACGCCTCAAACGACTCTCTTTTGCCCGCACCTACGTACCGCCAGTATCATGGCCGGCGAAGTCTGGATGCTTCCGATGATAGTTCCGATGGCGGCGATAGCGAAGCCACGTCTGGAGAGTCTGGGTCTGTCCCGAAGGTCGCCGTTAAGAAAAAGCCAAAACCCGTCATCATGCGCCCCGCATACAAGCGGTACCTCATCGCGACACCTCCGCCTGTCCTCGTCGTCCATCTGAAACGCTTCCAGCAGATCTCCAAGACGACGATGATTTCCTTCTCAAACGGCTTTAAGAAACTGGATGATTATGTGACGTTTCCCGAGGTCTTGGACCTGACGCCTTTTCTTGCGCCCAAGAGGGAGGATTTCTTTGATCGAGGGAGCAAGCCACACACAAAAGAGGTGGAGAGATGTTTATATCGCCTGTATGCGGTAGTGGTGCACATTGGTAGCATGGTGAGTTATATCTGTGCCCGGGAAATGAGATACCGACCGCGATTATAGCTGGGGGGCCATTATGTCGCTTATACTGCCCTTCCAAATTCGAGTCCTGGGGAGGACAGTCTGAAGACGCCCACTTCTGCCAATTCAAATCCTCAAAAACCCCGTAGACAGTGGGCCTACATTAGTGATACGATTGTTCGATTGACGACCTTGGAAGAAGTGCTCAAGGCCAAGGCGTACATATGCATGTACGAGAGGATATGACCTGTTGTTTGCATAGCTAACTTATTATCTTTTCGGACTGTTCATGTAAGTAACAATTGTAACATAATAGAAGGATGTGATGTAGCTGAGAGACGACAGTGGGTGCACGCTGTCTTCTTTCTGTTGATGTTGTAGGTCCATGACTGACAGTTTCTCAAGGTAACATGACCGGGTGGTGTATCGCGGTGGCAAACCCCTTCGAGGTTCACAAATAGCTTCTCCTAGGCGCATTTCCCTTCATCTTTGGTGCCCACGCTTGTACATTTGCGGGTCATTGAGTTAAAGGTTAAATTCCTCAACGAATATGGTTTTTGACTTGTGTTTATACTTCCGCGGAATTTCGTGCTGAGACATGGCATCATACGCACGGGACGCACAATCTGGTATTGTTCCTCGATGAATGATGGCTAACGCTATCGAATCAGCCTTCGTCGGGGCCTATATTTCAACGTTTCTGTATGGTATGCTTGTTTATCCTCACCCTGGCGTTCTGCGTTGAACATCTTTTACAGGTGCGTATATAGTGATCGTTTACCATTGCAGCCTTGTTATGTATCACCGCTACAAAACGAAACAACTGCATATGTACCTCCTAGGCACTCATATCACTCTCTTTCTTCTCATAAATCTGGTTTGTTCCAGTCTAATAGGCTGCTGTCAACGACTAACTGGAGATGTTTCAGCGCTGCATGACAACTATTATCCGCACTCTGTATGGCGTAATGCACCAAGAGCCGGATGGTACAATCAATTTACACCCGCTGTGGTCGAGCTGGAGCCTCATTGAGAATTCGGCGTGGGTTCTGACCATCCTTGTGGCTGATGCTTTCCTTGTAAGATCTAACATTTTTTTGGGAGGCTCATATTCATGGAGATAGATTTATCGCACGTTTCTCGTCTGGATGAACAAGTGTACTGTAGTATTTGTTCCTCTGTTACTCTTCGCTGCAGATGCTGGTAAGGAGTACCGTTTGTTACGGTGTATTCGTTCAAACGCCATCGGCAGGCACTGGCATTTACTTGCTAGTCATTCTGGCAAAATCCACAACAACGCTTCACCGGCAGCTCAATGCCAACAGATACTTCGGTATTATGACACTGGTTGTTAACGTTGTATGTACCGGTACGTATCCTCAGTCGACACATCATATCATTTCTGAAGCTCGTCTCGCTGAATAGCTCTCATTTCTTACCGCATTTGGACCGTACGCCGCAATGTATCCGGGACAAGACTAGGCGCCGATCCATTAACTGGTGTTATAGCGCTCATTGTAGAGTCCGGTCAGTCGAAAAAAGCGTCTTCATGCCGTATTAACAATCGCTCTATTAGCCGCTGTTTACACCGTCCTACTCATTTGCCTTATTGTCACCCTGGGTTTAAGGAGTTTCATTTATTATGTGCTCTTTGACATACAAGCTGCTGTTATCGGCATCGTTGTACGTGTCCTTGACTCAGCACCAACCTCAACTAACATAGTTCTCTTTAGTTTTCCATGATCATTATTCGCGTCAGCTAGGGTCAAGCTCATGGTGACAGTACGGGCACAGCAGCTAGCAGCGATGCTATACGATGGCAAGGTTCTGCCAATGTCACGAATCCTTCTCGGGCAGAAACTTGTGCCAATCTGGATATGAGGCTTGAGATGATGCACAACGGAGCTCAGCGTGGGAACTTGAAAATGTCCAATAGGACGGATCACGAATCTGCAGTCCCAGCAACATACAAACCGTAATTTCTCCCATAGACCTTATCAAAATCTCAAATGAGCCATTTTCGTTTAAAATACCGTTTCAATACTGTTTCTGTTATACATATGATAGCGTTTCCTGTCTGTATTCATGTTACATTCACTACATTTGGGGTTCTATCATATTAAGCGCTAATGCATTGGCCACCTGTATATAATCTATCACACCGAATACGAAGAATCATAAATAATTCACTTTGTTCTTACCCACGGTTCATCGTGACACATATGTCACAAATTTAGCTAGTAATATGGTAACATGGCCGAGTGGTCTAAGGCGCTGGAATTAGGCTCGGCACCGATCGATCACTAATAATCGATCGATCGATCGCTTATGTAATCCAGTCCTCCGGGGCGTGAGTTCGAACCTCACTGTTATCAATTCATTTTTTTTACTTTTCTTGAGATATTATGACCTATAGTCTAGGGTTGCGCACGAAACCTCCAAGGGGGGTAACTTACCGTTTGTTACCGACCCCTCCCCAAGGGGGGTGTTTTGATACGGTAATTTACCGTTACTTACCTATCACGTGCACAATCACATGACGAACACGTGGTAACTGTAAATTATTTTTTCAGCACGTCCGTGTTCGTGTTTTAGGACGTTTTCTTTGTCGAGGATGCTCTAAGTCATCTGAATATATTGCATATTCACTCCTGCACCACATATGCAGAATATACATATAATTGTATTGAATTTTCATGCTTATCAGGCAGTCACATGATGTGTAAGTTACCTCAACAGAAAACCCCTCCAGCGAGGGGGGGTAACTTACCAGTAACTTACCGGTAATAAACCCAAGTGTAACGAAACCTAGGTTTCGTGCGCTACCCTACTATAGTCTTTAAGATTTCAAGTTTTTCAACCAGGGTTGCGTACGAAACCTCCGGGAGGGGTAACTTTCGTCAGCGAGAACTCGAACAAGATTGACAAAAAAGGTATAGTTGTCCTTGTGAACTTCTACCAAATTGACATCCGCATCCAAAAGCAAGGTAAGAGTGGCCGGAAAGGAAGCACTATGCGAAGGCGAGCCAGTCGTTTTAGCACGCGAGTCCAGAGTAGGGTCGAGGAGCACGGCAACGCCAAACTGAAAACAGTAAGCGATGTTAAATGACGGAGATTCCAGACTCACGGTTTGATAAAGTTTGTAAATATTGTTCCGGAAAGTGACCTCTTTGCGGTGCCTGGTCCGAAAGTTGTGGTGAATCTCTTGTTGCTTGACCTTGGTAGCCTTTCTCAGCTTGTTCTTCTCGAGGTCCTTGCAGGCGTCGATAACAAAATTATTCTTTTCTTGAGAGGTGAGATTGTCGTAATCGATAGCAAAGCAGATGGCAACGATCGTTTGCAAGATGTGGTATACGAGCCTTGTCAAGATATCGCCGTCAAGACTGTCGTTGAGGTGTCGCTCATGCTCGAGTAAGCGGGTAAGAGGGCGGGACTTGGAGTCTATTTTTGACAGTCGATCACAAACAGCGAGCCAGGTGTGGTTGATTGGACGGACGCCGGAACGGAATGCCTTTTTCTAAATGAAAATCAAGTAACGATTATCACGAACATTAAATAAAAACATACAAGGTCAGACACAGAGGCAGGCCTGTAGCCTTGTATCAAACGCGAGAACGCAGCCTGCTCCAGTTCCACGAGCGAGCGAGATTCGAGATTGCGGAGGTGGTCTAGGAAGCACCTTTAGAAGCAGCTCGATGAGGTGACATTCCACGGCTTGAGGTGCCCATCTAGGACCCTTATCAACGCAAAGTCGAAGATAAGATACGCAGGATGGCGCCTGTTGATAGTGGTGGTGATAGAGAGTGCCGTTAGAGTGTTTCAGCATACGAGCGAGTAAGCGACAAATCCATGGAACCGAACCGTGAATAGGGTGATTGGCGTGGAATGCAGAGGAACACATGGAACAGCACGAGAGAAAACGAATAGTGGTGAAGATATCTGAGCCTGACGTGTCTGGACGCTCCGTCAGATGGATGATTCGAAATAGAACCATCGTAATGCACGCAGGAGCCCATGCCATCCAAAGCTTTCCTAATGGTGGCTTTCACCTCTCCGTCAGTCTTTTCATCACTGCAGCCCCCCTTCATTAAGATTTGCATTGTTAGCAGATATTCGGACGGCGACCGGATTTCAGAGAGTAAAAGGTATACCGAGACCTCGGTCAAGCAAGAGATGAGGTCGAGGGACTGCACCATTAGACACAGAAGTCTATTGTTCTCCGACAGCAGATGGAGTAGACTGAGGGTATTTGATGTAGCAAGGGAGTCCTGGAGATCTGATGTCTTGGAAGCCTCGGCAACGAAAGACCGGAGATATTCAATGATCGTGCTGCACAGCTCCGGCCATAGCTCTACAAGAAGGGTGACATTGGATGGGTCGCCGAGGACCTTCGAGTTCTCGGAGCCTAAAGCAATCCAGAGAGACTTGAAACATTTAGCAACGGTGTCAAGCTCGCTTGAAGGCTTCGATGACGCGACAGAGGTACGTCCTAGTTGTCTGGCACAGCGCAGTTGGTGGCCAACGGCGGCACAGACATCACGGAAAGCGCGTGGATCCAATGCTGCTAATGATGAGAGAGCGGCAAACTTGAAATGAAACCAGCATCAGGACTGACCAAACTGAAGGTAAAATTTCCACTTACTTCGAACGAGCTCATTGTATGCTGCAACGACGACATGGGGCAGGCTTGACGGGCCTGGCCTGGCTTGACCGATGGGTGTGAGGGATGAATTATCTTAGTCACGGTCACGGTAGAGGCCGTGCTGCGATGACCCGACGCGTCTTGCGTTCAACCTTTCAACCACTGTCTTTCCGAACCACGCCCACACTCATTTGAATATCCCTTCGCTTTTCTGTTTAATTTTATTGTATAATGGTAAGACTATTTTCATAGTCATTTCCCTTTTCATCCCTTATGTGGCCATCAACAGCAGGTCGTTCGAAATTCAGAAGAACTCGCCCAGATGCGATTCGATGCAGCCGCCTCATTGGTTCTCCTGGAGAGGTTTAGAGAGAAGAGATTCTCTTCATCCACAGCCTTCGTACAAGAGATGGAACACAAGGATCGAGTCATCGCAGACGCCAACCAGAGACGCGTTCACAATCGTCAATTTGACGTTTTGAGGTTGCTAGCGTATCTCGCCCGCTGCTTTTGTTCAGAGAAACGTTGTGTAGCCGCTGTGCTTGGGGAGTCGAGGATGAAGACGAGGTCAGCAGAAGATGAAGAGCCGTCAAATGATGACGAATCCGACGACAACGGCGACGGCAACAATAACGACGACGACAATAACGACGATGACGACGCTTATTTCTCAAACATTTCCAAAGGCCTCGAGGCCGAGCTTTCTTCGGCATCAGACGTACAAGCTGAATACGATGATTCTGTCGACTATTTTCCACCGCCATCCCCTAATAAGGCTCCAAAGTCTTCAGAAGCTTGCCTCGTTTTGCATCTTGCAGACAACTGGTCACCAAGCATACCCCCGTATTTCGGTCAGAGGTCTAGTCTTGTGAAAAAGAATCTCTATGAGTGCATTCATCTGCCGGACGACACGCACCGCTGGTATCGGCTGATTGTCTTAGGGCGAAGAACTTCCTCTCCTTGACTTGATGAAGCATTCACGAAGCTGCTGGATTCCATCACCGACATCTGTGACAACGTGAATCCTGTTTCACAGACAAGAACCGACTCGGACATGCTCAATTCCTTGGGCACGCATTTCACTCGTTGGAAGAGCAATGGCGGTGTAGAAGTGGAAGTGGAAAACCAAGCCTGCGAGTACGAAACGGTGTTTTTTCAACTCCGTTCACATTTCCCTGACGACAATATTGAATTACCCTCTCATGACAACGCTCCTTTCTCGGCTGGCCAGTTCTTACGTGCCATCCTCACATGCATTCTACATCATCGAATTTCTTCTGCTACTGGCAACACGGTATTCCTCGCACGAGATACCACCAACATTTCTCATACCTCCTTTGTCGTTCTTTTGCTGACCATGACAATTTTTGCCGAAAGCGGATTCATGAATGACCTGCGACAGGTCCCGGCACCATCATCAATTTCGGAGTCGCAGGTTGTAGGTATGAGGCTTCGCCGTTTTCGAAGACGGTGGCTACGAATCGTCAGCCTGGCTCGAGGTGCTCGAAGTGTGGCTGTAGTTGGCCTGCCGTTTATGACCAGCCTCATGGACCGCAGTCACCGCACATACAAAACCCAAGAAGATTTTGACAAAAGTTTTCAAATCGTTTGGGCTCAGCCGCAACCACGATTTCCGGTAGAAATGTCCAACCCACACGGTCAACGTAATCCTCTCATCTTCATCGCTAATCTTTGCAAGGCCCAGCCTTCCTTGGTCGACAACTTTGGATGGAAGGACGTGCTGATAGCAGGGGCTTGGGGGGAACGTCCATGGACCCTCAGAGTGCATGCTGAGGTGCAGCTTGCTATCTATTGCGAGGAGATGGGCGTCAAGATTGTCGAAAATACCCTGGGGGTGACAAAGCGGCCGTGTCTAGCTTGCGAACACACCTTCACCCTACACGTGCCCAAACTCTGCATACCATTTGGATCGAAAAAACCGTTTCGCACCTGGGCGCTCCCGGATCGGTTCCCAACGACATCGGACCTTAGCGCTATTGTAGCAGATGTCCAGAAAAGCTTACTTGATGAGTTGGTAAAAGCATCACCAGCACCAACGAGCGCACCTACCAACATGTCACGGAAAGAAAACACATCCGATAGCAGCTATGGTAGTGCGGAGGGCGAGACAGTGTTGAATGATGTGGACTAGACGAAGCTCAGGTACATCGAGGCTGAATTAGAGTAGGTTATGTATATAACATTTTTTCATTTTCTCGAGCATCGACAATGTTAATTACGTTCTTTGTTACCACCTTTCTTTCATGTAGGCAGAAAATGTTAAGCCGCCTAAATAGAGATGTAAGCGTTAGTTGAAGAACAATGTAACGGACAACGAGCGCGCTTCTCATGATCTCGCAATCTAAATGCCCTAATTTGTTCATTTCGGGCATACCATCCACCAGTAAAAAGTTTCGAAAATACTCTTCCATATCACTGCAGGTTGGCCACTCCCTGTAACAGGGATCATCTTCATCGGGATCGCAAAAGTGGTAATCAAGGCATATCCCTAGTCGTACTGTAAAGTCCCCCGGATGACTAGCAAGGATATGATCCAGCTCTTGCCATTCCTTCTGTTTCTGAGGCAACAGAATTGCATCATATGGGCTAACACCGACTTCGATAAAAATATCTTCTACCGATGTCGGAAGCGTCTTGAAGAATTGGTGCGCCCATGGGAAAGGTTTGGGCAATTCCCTTGGAGTCCATGCCTGGCTATCAAATACAAGGCTA